CAGGCAGGCAGAAAATCAGATAGACGGAAATTGGAAGGAAAGGGTGAACAGAGAGGGTCAAATGTTAGCAACATAGAGAATGTTAATTTCACTGCTACCATCTCAAGGCCATAAGAGGATTCGTAGGTGGATGATGAGATTCTGATGGACACCACTTAGTTCCCTTATTTTTTTCCTCTTTAAATTCACCTTGTCGCATTTTGCCTGTTCGAATTTTGGCAATCTCCCATGCCGCTAAAGTGAGTCGTGTGAGGGTGTTGTCGCCTGCCTTTGATGGTGGGAGAGGAAGAAGAGGAGAGTGGAGGTGGATGATGAATTGATCCAAGTGGTCGAAGGGTGGGGCAAAGTGTTGCGTGGGGAATGGCAGAGGATGATGGCCAAGGTTTGCACACTTGTGACTTCAAAGCAGCACTTCTCGGCCCACAATCTCTGACCCAGAACTCCAACTCCTACTCCACTTGTCGCATTCCGTTGTTGCGTGATCTCGCATGTTAGTAATAAAGTCAAAGCGAGGCATGGGCATCAGGGTGGATTGTTTGTCCTACCCAATTACTACGCCAACGAAACATCTTTCTGGGAGCCTCTCACTTCACATTTCCTCCATACCTTGCAAAGCTGAAGGTGTTCAATCCATTGGAATGCTTCCTTCAGTGGGTGCAGTGGTTCATCTTCGCACCCTCAAATGCCACCGACGATGACTCATGGCGGAGGAAGTGCTGTCACGTGGTGCGACTTCCATAGCTCTTCGTCGCCTCGGCGTCCCTACTGTGGACGGGGGAGGTGTGAACTTGACTGGGAAAGGCTTTCTGGCCTACAGTGTGTGAGGGCGTTGTCAGATCCTTCATGGGCAAGGAGGACTTGGTGCGGCAGCAAAACGTAGCGGCGCATGAAGGTGTGCCAAATGTCACCGCATCACTTCGCGTAGGAGGCTCAGTCAAGGAGCCACGTTCCACGCTGTTGAGAGAGAGGAGGGCGTCTTGGGAACGCAGGCGTGACAGAGCACATTCGCCGGTGCTTGTCAAAGGCACATCGATTGGATGTACATTATTGAAGCAGGGCGCGGAAATGGAGGAATGCATCACGATGGTGAGGGAGAAGAGGTGGTCTGCAGCTGAAAGGTGGACGGTGGAGAGAGGTTGGGGTTGCCTCCACGTTGGCAGCCGCACCTCCTGATAAGGTAGGCAACTTTGGCAGAAATTCTCTCCTCACCATCCATGCAGGTGCTTTCTCCCTCTTCTTCGCCCTCAGATCCTTTGCTTACTCCATTCCTCTCCCCTTTCTGTGCACACATCCATTTCAACGTCTTCCGCATCATGTGCAGCATCGTCGGTAGAG